GAAATGGAGAATTGAATTTGTACTTTGAACATTTAAAGCAGATTTTCACTGCCTGTCAATGAATGACTAAATAAACTATGAATGTTTATTTCAGCATATTTGACCAAGACTGTCAATAAACAAAGTTAAAACTCCTTTAATGAGGTACAGGAATACTGATTTCTAAATTTTCATTATGTGCTGCACTGGAGTCCCTGTGAGAATAAGTACAAATTGGACCTCTGCTGAAATTTACATTACAGCAGTGTATATGGGCAATGCACTCTGGACAAGAGCAAGAGAAATCTTAACTGAATTTACAGGCAAGTATTTTTACAGCTGTTACAGTTCTTAAAATTAGCTAGAGGAAGATTCTGTTCTTCAAAAAGGAGAAGATGAACATTTAAAAAAACCACTACTTTTAGAAAAAGGTGATGGTAAGTTCCTGAATGATGTGAACCAAAAACTTTTATAGATGAAGAAACGCAGAGCTGCTTTCTGAGTTTCAGATTTATTAAAGCTTTCACTTACACATTCCTTGAGGACAAACTGGTGTTAGCTAGCCATTAGTTATGGAGGTGTGTAGCAATGCCAGGTGAGAGGGCTTTATGCCATCCTTGAACATTTTGGAGTTGCTGAGTTGCTGTCTATGAAGTTTATTCAGTGCATTTCCAAAAGGCAAAAAATATCTCCTCTACCAATTAACTATCGCCCTGTTCACTGTATGCAAGAGAAATGAGAAATTCCTTTGTTAGCAAATGTTAGCAAGTGTATCTTCTGACCGCCTTTAAAAAAAAAAAAGAAAAAATATACAGTATTTTTTTTCTTTGAGTAACAAGGAGCAAACCAAAGGGGATAAATACGCTCATCTGAATGTCTGCCTGCTTCAGATCACTAGCATTACTATACAGAAAAAGGTGCTCATGCATGAGGACAGACTAAAAAGCTGGGTTCCGACACTACTGTATGCTCTCTGTATTTCCCTTATCAGACAGGGGATCTGGCTCGTGAATAATCAATTGGGCAAAAATTTCATGTTCTTATTCAGTCCAAGATCCAATGACGGCCTAAGGCAGCTTCAGCTTAACACAAGAACCTTAAATTGAAAGTAGTTACCAAAGCTTTGAAGGTTACTATTTGCCGCAACACAGCAAAAGCTGCTTCTGGCAAAGCTGGAGGAAATGCCCAAACCCAGCAGCATAGCTCAAATTTGCCCAGCTCGAGAGCCCCTGGGCTCCTTCAGCTGCCCTGCAGGCATTGGATGCTCAGCTCTGCCCTTGCTGAGGTGAGATGCAAGCTCCTGCAGCAGCCTTCTCTGGCAGTAAGGAGCAGCTACAGCAAGATGAGTTCAGACGCCTCTCCTGGAGCCAAGCCAAGCCTGCAGGGGCTGAGATCAGCACCAAATATGGGGGGATGTCCTAATCCAGCTCTAAGAAATGCTGTGCTGCTGTCACACTACTGCTGCTCCACAAGGAAGCTGTCAGCTCTGCCAGCTTGGGGGTTCAAACTCGATTGTCCCAAAATTGCACTTTGGTCCTTCCCTGATGCTCCTGGGAATGACTGCTAAAATTCAGAAGGAGACCTTGTGAGTATGGATGGTGTCATGTTGTGGAAATGTCTTTCATTTTTTCTTCATCCAAATACGAATAATCACTCAGAATGTCTTCTTTCAAAAGCAGTATTTATTTTTTCATCAAGATAAGACACATTACATACCGCACCAAGAAAAAAGTACTGCTAGGAAAGCTGCATTTAACTGAGATAAAAAAAATATACATGGATTGCACTTGAGAAAGTAGGCTCCATCCCAGAAGAACATAGTAAATAAAAAGCTGATGAGTGGTTTGAAATTAGGACTCTTTCTGAATTGCCTTTGAAAATGTATTTGTTTTGGGGGTTTCCAATTCCTCAAATAAAACTGAACCAGATTAGGTTTTTTTAACATCTTTGTTCTTTAAGTATGTAAACAACATAACAATTATACAAAGACAAAAGAGGGAAAAAAGTATGAAGATACACCTTTGCAATTTGTGCTAATAAATAAAAAGGAAAAATTTTGCTGTTTTTTGGTTTCACCAGGGTCACTGCATCTTGGGGCTTGGGTTTTGGGGAGTTTTTCTTATTTCACATGTATGCCATCATCCCCACACTGCCACACAAAGCCCATCCTTGACCCTCCTGCACTGGCTGGGAGAACGGTGTCTGTATGGCAGCAGGAAGCACTGAGTGGTTCCATTAATTAATAAGTGTCCCAGGAGTAATATTTGAAAATTTGTGACAAACTTAGCTTACATTTAAGAAGGTTAAAACATCATTAAGCAAGAGGATTTTTTTTTTTACTTTGCATGTGAATTTTTCTGTTGGACCCAGGCATCCATTGCTGCCTTTATCTGACTAAGTTAGCTGAATTCTCAGCTGTTCAGCCTTTAAAAGGAGTATTCATACTATCTACCTCTGTGTATCCCACTTAGATGTCCAAATCAAATCTCTAATCTTTCTATATAGTCAAAGGAGAGAAAGGAATGCTCCCAAACTGTGTGATTTCAATCTTTGGACTAAGGCACACTATGGGAGAGCCTCTCCCAGCTGCCTCTAGGGGTAACTCAGGCTCCCAGCCAAGGCTGAAATCCTCTGATTAGGAGTCATAAGTTCCCCTCACAACACTTGGGGTGGGACTGGGCAAGCAGGTGGTGCTGCCTGGCACACATCTGGCACAGCACTGCCTGTTGCCCAGTTCCCTTGGAGGGTGGGAATCAAAGGACCACTTAGAGCTCTTTGTGTATCCTGCAACCAATGCTAACTATGAAATCAGAGTGCTTAGGCATGATTCAGACAGAGATAAAAACAGGAGTTCAGTATCTCAGAAACAATCCATACTGCCAAGGTCTTGCATGCAAATTTATTCCAAACTTAGCTAAAACTTATGGAAGGGCTGGGTCAATCTTGTTATTAAGCTAGAGACAGAAAAAGAATGAGATGTTCTTTAAATAGTCCTGAACTACAAAATGAAGGTGGTAATCTTTGGTTACAGGGCTGTTCTTTAAATGCGAATTGCTTTGAAAAATGATGAATCACTTCCCAAGTAAGCATTCAGGAGCATTTTTAAACAGACATCTGGGAGCCAGAGAGGAAAAATTAATATAAATAATAAACCCCCCACACTTTCTGAATCTCCAAGGTTAAAGTACAGGAAAGAAAGTAACATAACATTTTTAAGGGACCTTTCAGCAAAGTTTTGCTAAAATTATAAAAAAGCACTTACAAAATACTCGAGCTGATGAAGAGGGAAAATGAGAACATTAGGGTGCTTTTGTAACAAACCTGTGGAGTACTAAAACATACTGGTTTGAAGGCCTTGTATTTTATAGCACATGCCATTTTCCGCTAATTATAACGCACTATTGTCAACCTACTTCACTCTTTCAGAGAGACAGAAAGACAAGAGCCAACACAGACAAGATGATTTGATGCAGCCTACGTCTACCATAAAACATAAAACCTCAGCCATTAAATGTGCCATCCTATTCCCTCTGTTACAATCATGATCAAAACTCCAATTCTTTGCGAAACTTAAATCTGCCTGGTTTTTACATTTTTGGAGCAGCATTTGAAAATCCTTAAAGCTAGCTTGGAAAGATCTTTTTTGTTTTTCAGCTAGAGCACTTTTGTAATAGTTTAAAAGGCATAGGAAGCTATGCTGTAGCTTTTAAAGTGCTAATTTTATTATGAAGTGGTTATTTAGTAATATTCTGAAATTTAATAAATGATGCACATTTGTGATGACTGACAGACATTACTTAATGAGCTAATATGCTTCAGCAAAATGCAATTTAAAAAAAAAAGAAATTCACTGTCAACACTTTAACCATGGCAACACACAGAGCTGGAATGAGACAACTAACCTCAGATAACTAAGATTAATGCATATATGACAAAGTTAAAAAACAAATAAAGAAACCCCAAACCAAATAATGATAATTAAATCTCAAACACAGCTTTGTTTCCCAGTAACACAACTGCAAAACAAATCAATATTTTCAACAAACAAGTTCCCTATCTCCATCTCCTCCACAGGAAAGCACGGCACTCCTCGAACTGCTGCGAGGAGGATCCAAGGGGAGGGCTGGCTCTCCCTCCTTCTATAGAGGGGGCTCCTCTTGGGCAACTGTGGGGCCACTCTGGGCAAGGGGCTGGAATCCAGATCAGGTAGGTAGTGACCAATATCAGTTCCAGCCCACAGGTATTCACCTGGGGAGCTGGCAGGAGCCCCCTGTTGCAGAAGCACTTGGGTGATGGCTGCCTTGGAGCCACCACGGCAGAAGTGCCAGCCTCGGCACCCCCTACCACCCTCAGTGTCCTGGCTAACGCAAAGCATCTACTAACTTCAGCACACGACTTGCTCCAGTACAAACAGCAAGATTTGACTTTTCTGACGTGTGATTTTATGTAATGATGGATTTGAAGCATTCTATCTCACTCTGTCGGGCCAGAATGCTGAGAAGTTCCCTCTGAGAGTGGGGCAAACCATTTTGCACTCCTACAGGCTCAAATTCTCTCCTCATTTATACCCACCGTTAAACCCTACCTACCATCAGGAGAGCTGAGGAGGTAGAAATGGGAGCAGAATTTGAGTGTAGGAACTGGTGAGTGAAAAAGAAACACAATGCTATTTCATTGCCAGCTACCACAAAAACCTACACACCTGGTATTTAAATTCAGTGGGCACTGTGTGCCTAAGGACTGCAATTGAGCTTTTAAAATCTCAACCCTCAGAATCTAGCTACAGATAACCACAATCCTAAATCCTTGGATGCTGACACATAAATGTATGATATATTTTTTAGTTGCCATGACACTAATCAGCACAGCAATGGTTTTTGCTAATTGCAAAGGCAGGCTAGTAGCAAATTTCAAATGATTAGTGAGTAAAGGTCCTCAGAGCAATCCTGCTTGAAAGTAAATGTCCGGTAAGATGCAATTAGTGTGTCTGTTTTTTCTTTTCTTTCTTTGTTTTTCCTTTTTTATCGGGGTGGTCTTGAACTGCAGACACAATCACAACGCTCATGGTGATCCAGCTGTATGTCTACCAAGGACATGTTGTTCCTGATTCTGCTTCTTTTTCTGGTATGCCCAGCCTCAGGGACAAACTTCAGCACCTGGGAGGATCAACAAAAATGCATTGAATTAGAAAACGCTGTTGGAGATCTGAAGATGAGAACGTTGGGGCCCGAAGGGCCCCAACAGCCCTTAATAGCCCTGACCATCATTAATTTGGACACATTTTTGTTTTATTTCCAGCTTTTTCTTTGCACACTTTGACATCCTGCTGTATTGTTTGTCCTGGAGCTTGGACAGACTGTATTTTTTCCTATATCAGGTATCTTTGAATCATGCAGCTTCCTAACCATGTCCAGAGCTGCTCCTTTGCATGCGAACTATCAAGCAGGTTTCCTTTGGCTCATTTTTGCAGTCCCATTCCTATTTGAGCTGCCCTATCCCTCCTCTCTCTTGTAGAATATTTTTGCTCTTAAGAAAAAGGGACATTTTTTTATGCAATTTGAAATTTCTGAAGCACCTATCATTAGATTTGGTCCAAAACTTAAATACTTGTGAAGGGCAGAAGGAGATGAAGGAGCTTGCAAAAATACGTGTGAGGTACTATTGAGTTTTGGTGGAATCTGAGTTCTGTTGGCTTATCTTAAAAATCTCTGCCTCAACCGAAATGATTTTTGAAGAATTTAATGTGAATAATGTCAAGCAAACAAGAAAGCAAAATTACTTCCTAGGGAAGCATGGATCATAATAGACATTTCTGAAAAAAATCCATCTAGGCAAGATGATCTTGAGACCCCTAGGAAGGGGGCTGTAAGTTGTAAAAAGGAGCTGGCTTGGCCAAGTGACTGCCAGATCAGCTGCATTTCTCTTGCTTTTTCAAAGATGGAGAGATGTCTGTTAAGTTCATGTCTTCCCAAAGCCAGTGGCCAGCTGGGAAGAGGGACCTAAATGTCTGAAATACCTCAGCACCTCACTGAAGCACCCATGTTTCTGCCCTAACAAATCATATGGTTTATAACAGATCACTCTGTTACTCAACAATCCTCTTTCTTCTTCCTTTTTACAAAGCAGTTTCTGTATTTTGATGTCATAACACCATACGAGAGTTGAGATGGTTTTGGAAATGACAGGGAATAAGAGGCTGTGTTCCAGATCAACAGAGTATTAGCATTTTCAACAGGATTAGAAAGCTCCAGAAAGCAAATGTGAAGCACTTGCCAAAGGACAACCAGACATGCTGTGCAGGGTGGGTGGGGAAAGGCAGGCAGGTTAGCAGCTCTCAGGAGGAGACCTTTTGTTCTCTGCCATTAATGTCTTGAGGCTAGAAAAGCCATGAGATATAACAAAAGTGATAAGCACTGAACAGAGTCTATTATTTTGTTCTCTGTTTTGTGATGAAATTGATATTTAGCCTATGTAATACTAAAAGGAAGGACCGTGCCTAAGCAAGTTACAGACATGCTACTGTACTGTGTTGGTAAAACAGAATTATTTTGCCCTGTTAGAAATGGAGAAACATAATTTTACTTTTTTTTTTTTCAATAAAAATATAGTATCTTTGAATTGATTTCAAACATTGGTTGCATCCATATATGCAATAAATCCTGATGGACACTAGGACAATTTGCTGTATCACACTGTCGTCCCAAGCACAAAGGAACTGAACCCAATCAGGTTGCTGCAATTATTACAGAGCTAAAAATAGAGCACAACTTCAAAGATGCTTTTTCAAGGAAAACGTACTTTAAAAATCAAGTACAGATGCTGACACTGAACCCATGATAAATTCCTTATTTAAAGAAGTCTTCCAGCAAATTATGACCAATCCAGATGACTGGCAGTTTGCAAAATCATAGAGTAGATAGATCTGATTTTTTCCAGCTGAGAACAAATCAAAGTATGCAATGGGATAAGAGCAAAGATGTGGACTGTATTTAAGTTAACAGACCATCTGACAGCTCGGGGACTTTCTCTGTGTTTTTTATCAAGAAGCATTAGCACAGTATATAGGCTTTGCTGATAAGAAAATGAACTGTCAGGTACTTCCTCAGACAAGACAGGAAAACAGTGATTGAACACAGCTGAAATTATCAAATCATAGAGTTCTTTAGGTGGGAAAAGACCTCTGAGATCATTGGGTCCAACCCTCATCCCAGCACCAGCAAGTCAACCACTAACTTCTGTCCCCTAATGCCACATCTCACATGCTTTTTGAATTCTTCCAGGAATAGCAACTCTTCCACTTCCCTGGGCAGCCTGTTTCAATGTTTGACCATTGTTGCAGTAAAAAAAATTTCCCTTATATCCAGTCTAAACCTCCCCTGGTGCAACTTGAGGCCATGTCCTCTTGTTCTGACACTTGTTATCTGGGAGAAGAGGCACCTGCTACACCCTCCTTCAGGCACTCAGAGAGAGGGATAAGGTTCCCCCTGAGCCTCTTCTGCTCCAGTCTAAACACCCTGAGCTCCCTCAGATGCGAGGCTTGTGCTCCAGAGCCTTCTCCAGCTCTGTTCCTCTTCCCTGGATTTGAGGTGACCTTACCAGTGCTGGGTGACCTCAGCAGTGCTGGGTACAGGGGGACGGTCCCTGCCCTGCTCCTGCTGGCCACACCTGGCTGATCCAGGCCAGGATGCCATCGGCCTTCTGGGCCACCTGGGCACACTCATGTTCAGCTGCTGTCAACCAGCACCCCCAGGTCCTTTTCTGCCAGAGAGCTTTTCACTCTGCCTCATCCTGCAGCACTGCCTGGGGCTGTTGTGACCCAAGTGCAGGACCCAGCACTTGGCCTTGTTGAACCTCACACAAGTGGTCTCAGATTCAGTCTGTCCAGATCCCCCTCCAGAGCTCCTTTAATAGCTGATCACAGAGCTGATATTCAAAGCTCCCTGTCTCACTCCCACCTAACAGTTTTATTTTCATCTAAATATAAGGAAATTAAAAAGAATCTGGAAATAAGGCCAATTCTGGTGACCACAGTAGAAGGAACACAACCCTTTATTCTGCAAATAGCTGCTGTTTATTTATCACATGGTCATGTCCTTAAAACTGAGAAACTACTGAATTAATGAGAACAGCTCAAATAAATTCTGTTCAGGACACTTTATCACTCATTTTTTTCATGGGATCAGTAGCTGTAAGAAAATATGGATATGATAGGTCTAGAATGCTCAAAAAGGCTTGTTTTTTGTTTTTGTTTTTTTTTTTTTGTTTGTTTGTTTTCTTTTTTTTTTGCGGTGAAAAGGAACAACCTTGTAGTTTTCAAATTAAAGGATCAACATCTGTCACTTCTCACCAAATTGCAGTGCCTCAGCTACTCAGATCATTGCCTCACAAAAAGCATGTAACTACAGTCATGTCCCTCTCATCAAACACTGAGTAAATTATGGTTATCAAACTATTAAAATAAAATAAAATCAAGACAGATTATTCTGCTTTTGAGCTGGATTTGGTGCTTATAGGTAATACAAGAAAAAGGGTGTGCTCCTATGGGCCTCTCTGCACAAAAATGCCCTACTGCCCTTTTTCTTGTATTACCTATACCCTGGATGGTATTTTACTTTGTAGATGTGTCTGAGCATCTATCTGAGAAGTTTCAAGGTATGATGACTGTAGCCACCACGTAACTTTCCTTGGAGGCAGTGATCTAGGAAATATAAAGAAAATGCTTACATGTGTTTCCCTGCCAGCAATCTTGCTCATTGATTATGTATTGGATTTGGATGCCAGTTTCTGAAAGCCTCTTTAAATGAGATCAAAGCCATGACAAAAACCAGGATCTGGAAACTGAAGCCAGAAAAACTTCACGTGGAATTAGGGCACACATGTTTAATTGAGGCCCACACATCACTTAGACAGTCCTCCAAGGAACTGGGGGGTTTCCAGCCTGTTGGAGGATTGCCTTTCCAGGAGGTGTATGGGTTGTGCTCTGGGGGCAGCAGGTGCTCTCCTGTCGCCTGTGGAGCACAGGGAGTCAGGGATGATGGCCCCTATAATCTCAGCAGGTCTGTAAGAACACTTAAGAACCCTTAACACTTCAAGATGTGGGGCTGAGGACAGCAGAGTGGCAGTGACTGCCAGGAAAAGGACCCAGCTAGAGAGAACTTGTTCACCCTGATCCATACATGGCATGTCTCCAGTAGAAGCTGGAATAAAGCAGCAACTCCAGAGCATGATACACCTGAAACACCCACCTCTGGCAGGGATAGCTCTGGGGACTGGGAAAGGAGCCCAAAGCTTGGACTCAAAGTGTTAGATGGGTAGAGGCAGATGAGGTGAACCATCCCTTCAGCATTTGCTGATGGTCCTAGCCAGGTATCACTGACCCTCGCAGTCAGGCAACATTTAGCAATGACAGTCCATGATAGCTGATTTCTATTTTATTAAAAAGCAAATAGGGGTAGCAAACATAGTCAAAACTTAAAAAAAAATTCCCCACAGGCATTTTTGACTTATCATTTACTTATTAGCAACAGCAGTAATATTGTTTTTTTAAATTCTTGACCAGTATTTTAAGCACCAACAGAAAAATGAAGCCTCACTCAAAAATTGGCTTTTTTTTTTTTCTTATTAGCTTAAGAAGCCTACAGAAAATCAATAATATGTCTATGGCTTACCCAATATCTAATTAGCTTCATATTCTTGTGACAGAGGATGGTGAGCAACTCTGGATGCTATTTTAGATAGTGAAATTTGTACTTTGCAGAACTTATTTTAAAATTCTGCTATGCAGCATTATCTAATCTCCTTCTGCACATCTAAAAATAACACCATTCTAGCATGAAAACCAAATTATATTTGTCTGAGATTCATGAAAGAGGAAGCATCAAAAGTGCAAAACATTCAACACAGATCCAAGTTCTGATAGACATAAAAAATCTTACTCTGCAATTTTTGAAAGTTATCTAATCCAAAGGTCACACACGGTTTAGCTGTGCTCTGAGTATAAGAAGGCAAGTATTATGGGAATGTGGTTCATTATTTAGCACAAGGACCTTTGCTCTAGTAGGAACATAGCCTAAACCAATGACATAGACCCAAAGATGTATTCTTACAAATACAGGTTATCGGAGACAAGAAAAATGAGTTGCTGTGCTGATCACTG